TAATAAAGCTGAAAGCCTATCACAATCTGTCGTCCACCGCCATCCACAGCAGTGATCACATAAAAATTGAGAACAGCGAGTATGGACAGATTGCATTGAAATGAACACTAAATACGGCTATCACGGCCAGTATTTGAAAATGTTCATGAGTGATATAAATGGTATTACCATCTATTTGCTTATATTCACACTATCCTAAAACGCTCAAGTGTCTTTATGTGCAGTGACGTGAACATTGCTACAATGTAAGATGTGCTAAATGTATACAGGATACTTTCCAGTAAGAATTACTAAATTGCTTGATTGACCTTAGACCTTAAAAATACATGTCTATGGATTGTCACATCAAAATAGAATAGAACATGTTGAATAGAACTTGTTCTACATTAACCAAAACAGCGGGTTATTGTTCCAGGCTAACAACAAACTCAAAACAAAAGAAACCGCCCAATTGAAATGACCTGTGTCTAGTCTTATCGCCCTAGCGTTTCCAAGTGAAAAAAGTTTGAAGTCAAAAATGACTGATTTTTCGCCCAATCTGCTATGAATTTTTGATTATGTCATTAATTTAGTCCAGCAGTTAGATTAATTGTTAGATTTATTAGAGGCGCTCAGGAAACAAAGATTTGGAAAGTGAATCGTGAAATAAACATGGCAACAAAGGTCAAAACATAGGCGTTCACCATTTGCAATAGTTGCAATTTGTTTCAGTGATATCTACGTAAATTGGGACCAAAAGGTTATTGGCATGATGGCAGGGATGGCAGTGACCACCACCAAAACTAAACCATTGAACTAAACCATTGTTGACTTTTAAGATGGCAATGCACCATGATTTATAGGAAATTTAAACAATAAATTACACTGCTAACAAATATGTTAATTTTGTCATGTTATATACCATTTGAAAGCTTATTTTGCCAGCTTTTCAACAGTATGATGCATTTTTTTGTGGTTGCTAACAGTATCGAAAATGGGTTGAAAATGCCTGTTTTTGGTTAAATTGTGTTTAAAACTATTTAACTTCCGAACGCATAGGTTTATCGAATGGCAGTTTGACTTGTTTAAAACATATGTTCACTAGGATTATAGAACAAAAGTTTGTAGTATTTCCATTGAATATTTTTTTCACAATGCCTTCTAAATGTTCCACACTTTTGAATAGATGGGTAATTAACGCTGATGCCGATTTTTTTTTTTCTTCTCGAACAATGAATTCACACGATGCACTTTGAATGTGCCAGACCGGAACAATTGTTCCTGAAAATACCAAAGGAAATGACAAAATAGTCTGGGAGCTAAATAGTTTTGAAGTTCCTGGTTGAAGTCAAAAATGAAGTTGAGATAATCACCATTTTGTTTAAATCTACGCGAAACCATGAATGTTGCTTTGCATACCTTTTGGACACTGTCGAAACACCACGAAAAGAACGAGTAGCACAACTAGAACAACACTGTTTTTAAAAAAAAAAAATCTATTTGTGTGAGCGTTTTTGTTCTACAAAATGCGGAGTTGGCGAAACTGTCTTCGTGAGCCAAGCTTCTGATGTCTCGCTATGTTTATAAAGTCAACAGTGGGTGGAGCTTGTACGCACATGTATGCAAATTACCGATCAGCTGGTTGTATATAAATCTGACTCACCAGGGGTCTGGGATAAAATCTGACTCGCAGATGTCATAATAAAATAACGTTAATAATAGACTATGTCAAAGTATACACAATAAAGTATATACAAAGTATATACAAGTGCATCACAATAGTATTATCTCCGTAAATTCTCGGGAAAAATGTTTTTATTGTTACTCTGCTGAGAGCTGACAGAAATTCTTGTTCGGTCGTCTTCTCGCTATTTGAAGCCAAAATGGCAGTGTGGTTTTTGTATGGGGGAGCGGAAATTGGTGGCGCCTGTCTTCTGTTGCCGATTGCACTCATTCTCAGAATTTTCTTTCTCTTAATCTTGAAATGTTTTCCATTTTGTTTTGATGAAGTCATCTCCACAGCTCTACGTTCAAACATCAGAACTTGAGAACATTGAAAATGCCTTTGCTTCATTATTTGCTGAGGGATGGTCGCTTAGGTATGTGCTTGGTAACTTACAGCACATGAACCTAAAAACATTAGGTAATCAAACAAAAATGATGTTGTACTTAAGTCCAAAAAGTACGTTCAAGGTCTTCATTTTTTTTGTAGCATAAAAACGATTTACTCCCTCGCTTATTGTGACACCCTCAAATCAACTGATTTCCATTCCCCTCAAGAGTCAAAATGGTATGTGCCTCCATTTTATGCTACGACTGGAAAAAGTCTCTTTTGCTTGACGTGTTCATTTGCCTTTAATTACGTTTCAGTGGCTGTCACTGTCGCATTCTGAGTTTTGCCGATAACATTTTGGTTCAAATCCACGTAACTATTCGCCAAAAATTCAAGAAATCTTTCATTTCTTTGTCAACTAACATGCCGGAAATCAAATTAGCATAACAATGCGTTCGAAGGTTGTTGCCATTTTATTCGACAGCTTTCCACACTAGTGCCACACCACATACAACTAAAACATTTAAATTCACGTGTAAATTGCGTTTTTAAGTCGTGTACCATAAATTCCGTGTTACTGTTCCTCAAGTTTGTTCCAAAGACTGCAGTCGATCACACCAGAGATAACCAGAACATTGATTCGTTTCAAAAACATTCGTCGTTAAATTCATGTTTGAAAATGTTTTTGACCTTTGTGAATTGATGATAAGCAAACAATCATGGTAGATTGGCCCCGACTTTCTGTCGATCAGAAACGCAAAGGAGATAAAACTCAATTTTCATAGACTCAGGTCGTTTAGATCGAACGGTTACTTTTGTTTCAGGTTCGATAGCATTTAGTGTTTATTTCTATGCAATATAAAATCATATCAATGCTGTGGGTGGCGAAGGCTGACAGATTGTTTTGGTTGTGTGGCCGGCTTTCATGGCACGGGCAACTGACATTAGCTGACTTTTTTTTACTATTCTGACGTGTTCTGTGCTGTATCATAGAGCTAAAAATTAGCTCCATGGCTGTATATAACAGTTAGACACTGACAAGTAAGTAGGTTGGTACCAGTAAACAGCCCGGGACATAGTCAATAGAGTCTGAATCAGTTAGGCCCTGAAAATAGTGTCATCGCACAGTACATTGTATTCTATTAATGAACGAAGTTCACATAACAATCTTATGCCTACAAATCATCCCATAATTATTGACAAGTTGTTACTAGATTATACTAAAACAAGCCGGTAGGCTGGTTGGCGATGACTCCTCTAAAAAAAACAAGCATGTTTTCGGCTGTTGCCACCGTAGGCACTGGGCACTGTATACAAAGTTCGCCAAAGAAAACACTCAGTCTTTAGAAGTCACTTTATTTTATTGCTAGGACGTATTCTGCTGTTAAATTTGTTATTTCCAACCTTTTTGCAATAGTATTTTCTAGATTGAAGGCAGCATTAACAGTTCATTCAAAGTTCAAAGTTGCAATGTCGGCGCCGGTGATCTCTTACCGGTGTGCAGGCAACTTAGCCAAAACAAAAAGCATGACCATTTACACACTGCTATTACAAGACTGGTAATAGGTAATAAATTTGGGGCGAAAGTATTTCAATTAGTGGCGGTACTACACACTCAAGCTGAGTAGAATGAGCTATGTCTGAAATGTTTTATCCTAAATTTGTAATAGGAGATACATTTGGGGCGAAGCTACGGTGGGTCAAATTTTTTTTTAAAGATTTTAAAGAACTAGGGTGAAAGTGTGACCTTCCTGCCAATTTTGAGCAAAATCAGCAAAGCCAAAAAAATCACAGAAGAAATAATACGTGAAAACTCTGGAAATCACACACACAGACACACACACGCATTTTAAGGGCAATCCTAGCAGAGCGGATCGCCAATATGTTATTTAGAGTACTAACAAATTCCCACTTCAGGTCTGATTAGAATTAAAATACACCACGAATATTCACTTTTGAGATTTTTGGTATGTGTTGGTTCTTGGATATTTCAGCTTCGTCGTCCTGTACTTCATTTAGTAATTCGAACTTCGCAGATTGTGTCAAATCGGAGAGTTTCTTGATTTCGATATCAAAACCGCCTTGGCTTAATTATTTGCTGGGCAGGCGGTCGCTTAGGTACGTGCTATGTAACTTGCAGCACATGAACCTAATCATGTTAGGTAATCAAATTCACGGGTAGTTGACAATCCTTAATACTGCTAAATCGCCAGTTGTGAACTTTATCAGGATTCCCGTATAAAGTTACACATCATTCTAGCAAGGAAAAATATTGATTACTGTTGTGCAGGTTATATAATAAAATATGAAATAATTAATATTTCATTTTTGTTAGTATATCTTAATAAATACGCCTTTGAGAAATATTACTGATGAATACTTTATATTGTAATTTCTTTCAATTTAAATTAGTTGTATTGCAATGCATTAGTAATAACAATAACAATATTTATTGCATCTTTAGAAATACTGTATTTCTATCAGTACAGTATAAATACCGGGGGTAGTGTAAATGTATACATTCCTTTATTTCATTGTTGAGACTGAGTAATACAGTTTGTTACGTACTACAATTTATCTATATTGGAAAACGGTTATGGGGATTATTAATTTCAATAAACAATATTCAACTATCCTTTGCAACACCAATAAGATCATAATGGTAATGTTTATTGGTCTTTGAAACTAGAGGCATTATCAGAGCATGGGTCTTATTTTGGAACTCCTGCTAGGATGGTATTCCCAGAATAGTGCCAGTTGTTAAAGAAACATAAAACTTTAGTTCTCAACAAGGATGAAAGGACCAGTTACTGAGACAAAGCCCTACTCCCCGCAAAACCCTACAGATACGAAACCCAATTACCGCGAAAGCCACTCACCGCGAAGCTAATAGTAGTACTGGTATATAATAAATAAATCTTGGGATTTCTGATGTGTTGCGTACGAATGGTGTTTGTGAAACCATGGAGGTAGCTCCATGCCCAGGGCTCCATGGTGAAAGAAGTAGATAGGAAACGAACTGGTCTTTCCGAAACATGGTTTCCATACTACTGTTAAGCTCCAACAACATTAATTAGGCAAGATTTATGCAAATTAAACAGTTAAACTAAGACCGAAGGGGAATGGAAATCAGTCGATTTGAGGGTGTGGGAGGGAGCAAATCGTTTTTTATGCTATGAACAAGTGAAGACCTTGAACATACTTTATGTATCTTAGTACAACGTCTTTTTTTGTTTGATTACCTAACGCTTGTAGGTTCATGTGCTGCAAGTTACAGTGCACATACAATGTACCTAAGTGGCCGTCCCCGGCAAATGATTTAGCTCAGGTGCCAAATCACAAAACTATCAGTTTTTACGCAATCTGAGAAGTCTGAATTACTAAACGAAGTACAGGACGACGAGACAGAATTTATCCAAGAACCAACACATACCAAAAATGATATCTCAAAAGTGAATATTCGTGGTGTATTTTACATATTTTAGTATAAGGTAGTAATAAACTTCAAAACTGGATCACAATGTTTTCAAAATATTAATCAGCAAGCTTCTTGTTTAAAAAGCTAATCTTAAAATTAACTTTATATACCATAAATCTTGTATATGCCTCCAATACTCTCAGCACATGGGAGTTCTTTCTTCTATATTTATTGAGTTAAATCAATATACATACTCTATAAAATATTTGAAGTGAGA